TGCCCAAGGATATTTGGCATGCAGCCAGGAGGCAGCCTGGGATCGAACCACCGACCTGAGCTACAGCCACCCCCCCAGATCTGACCCAAAAAACTATGCCACGTTTCAAAGTCGCTTTTTTCCCATTCTAATAATTAGTTTGAACTTCAACGGATTGTTTGGTCCATGCTTGCAAGCTTAAATGCATTAAGTTGCTGCCATGTAATTGCCTGATTAGATAGTTTCCTTAACAAACAATTAAATAGCTGCAATAATGAAGTGGCCAGTGGCGGTATGAATTACCGAAAATTGTGCAAAACCCCTTTAACCACAACCCCAGTAAAACTGTTAAAAAGCCAGTCATACATGAATATTTATTGGAAGATTATCAACTTCCACAAATATATTATTATCAAAAAAATGACAAAGTATAAGCTATTAATGCCCCCCCCCAATTCTTGTGTAGTAATACAGTCCAGCAGAAAGGTCTACAGTCCACAGACACAGAAAAGTTCCATGTGACTGCACATGTTCAACCTTTAATGTTTTGCAAAAACTGTTATTGTAAAGATATGTAAATTCTAGCGCACACTCTGTGTTCACAGTGAAAATGAGAATGGGAACATTAGAGCGTTATGTGTGGCTAAATGCACCTCGGCAGACGTTACCTCTATCTGTCAAGCAGAAGGATGATGTACATTGAAAACACATTTCCTTCCTTGTGGCACTCACATCTATCATAAGCTTATGGCCACTCTCCCCACTCTAGCATATTTCTTCCGCGACATCCATCTATGTCAATCTCATAACTTGCATATCCGGAGGCCTGTGATGTTTCTCTGTCCTGTAAGTGTTCATACCATATTCTTGACAGGTTTCACCATATGTTCTTTCTGCATCTTAAAAGCACCCCTTGGAGGTTTCCTAAAATCGCTTGCGGAAGTCCACAAGGTCACAGTTTTTATTTATTTATTTATTGTTTCGCAGCTTAATGTCATGTGAAATGACGGGCGAGTGTGTGACACGCGTGTGTGTCAAGTGATTGGCCTTACGCGCAACATCAGGTGACAAAGATGCCTGTTTCCTTTATAACAGCAAGCGTCTGCTATTTTAATTAAAATTTGCCTGGGAAATTACTCAACCATTTAGCTGCCAGTACCTCGAATCAAAATATCTAATTTACATAGCAGGCAAAATTCTGTTTACTTGCAGCTATTAGGGCCTGTTCAACGTGATGAAGCATTTGCATGGATTTATGACAGTTATTCATTTTCATACAGTTTCCAGTCCTGCATTTGTGTGTGTTTGAAAGTGCACCGCCCTTGGGGGTGGCATACTTCTTCTCAGTCTTTCTCAATACAAAACATAGTGTAGCTGCTATGCCTCTGTGTGGGGAGCAGGTAAATGGGAAAGGATCTAAATTATCCTCTGGCAGCGCTACAGCGTACTGGAGCAACCCCAACATACAGATGCTGCTGCTGCTGTTGCTGCTTATCACAGTGCTGCAGTGCTAGGGAGGAGCTCAAATATGCTCGCAGCAGTAGCTCGTGGCAACTTCCTCCTGTCTCCAGATACCGTGAGCTTTGGTCACACACTCTGTGTGTTGATATGTTGGTTAATCCTCTTTATTAGTCAATAAAGCCCTATTACACTTAGAGCCTACAGACTTGTTTACCTAACTACAAGACACAAACAAGTAACTTTTTTTCTTAAAATAAGTCAGTGTGCTCCGAGTTCTACTGCAGCGGTATTTATGTATGTTCATGCTTTTGTTTCTGAAAGATGACTAACAGCTATTGTAATCTTGGTTTGTGCAAAAACAAGAGGCCTACACAACTGTTAATGGCACTCTGGTGCAGCATTTGCATTTAAAGTCACTGGATACATACATTCTGGTCTTCTGTTCATCAGGTCACCCGATGAATAAATGAAGTAAAATAAGTGGAAAACCTGCTCATTTCTGATGCAACTGGGCTGCAAGCTATAGCTAGTGCCTCACCTTTGATTACTTACAGAGAAGCTCATCTTTACCATAAGAGGGCACTAAAAATCCACCTGATGAGGTTGATGACTATTGGAATTTATTATGCTCTTGATGGACAATATTTTTTTTAAAAAGCAGTGAAAGTTTCCAAGTTTCACACTGAGAATCAGAGAACTTTCTTCTCTACACTTTAAAAGAACAATAATAATGACATAAGTGTGATGATGTCAGGTCCTAATGAGCCGGCTACATGCTGGCAGAGTTTAAACTGATTGTAACCTGCACTCAACCAGCCGATGTCTGAAAAGGTTGCGATGTCTGCAGACACTGTATAGAAAATCATCCTTGATTTGGAGAGTAAAGAAGAAACAAGTTTGCTGATTTCAGTACGTTTGTAACACAAAGCAGACAATTGAGTGAAATTGCGCTGTGGGTATATATATATTTTTAAATCGCGATTGAGGCCAAGGTTACTTTTCTACTTCAGCATTTATATTTTATAATAATTAACAATGAATATTTAATTTAAGAAAAAAACACAAATATAAATAATCACTTCCATCCAATTATTAAAGAAAAGAAAAAAACGAATTCAAATCAAATACTGGTCCACGTGAATTCCCATTTATCCCTTGTGTTTGTTATTTTCACTAATGAGATCTGGACAGTTAGCTTCCAAAACACAAACAGACTATAGTAGCTTTACTGAATGTTGAGCGTGGGTCATCATGGACTGAAGCAGATTAAGTGATCAGAAATCCGGCACCTATGATCATTTCTGACATTACAATCAAACGCAAGGCAGGGTTAATCCTACTCGCTGCGTACTCGACGTGGCTTCCTGAGCGAGTGAACAGTGACAGATGATGAGTTTAGTACCCTGAGGATTGCGCACAAGACAGTCCGTGATCTGCTTTCAACCGTTTAACACCGCAGAGTCCCAACCGCGACGGCAGACTGGGAGACCGGCTTAATCTGAGCAATTTGTCGAGATAATTCGTTTAGAACGGTATTAATGATCCAAACGTAGCTTTCTCAGTTACACGGTTTCACCTCAAGAGCCTCACGTCTTGTGATCGGACACTAAGTCCCGCAAGGATCGTTACGCACAACTTTTACGCACAGCCGGGACTTGAACAGACCTCGATGCGCTTTCCATTTTACCAGCAATACGGATTACACTACCACTTATACTCGCACAGGTGTGATTATGGAAAGCGTCCGAACTGCAGGAATGGATGAAAGGACCCTCTTCTTAACCCACTGAAGCAAAACCCAACCGCACGGACGCAGGGAACTTGCCTGGAATAGCGTGCAGAGCCGGGTGCCAAAATGAGCACGCACTGGCAGAGCTGGAGGATCTTACAGATAGTCTTTGCAACAATTACAGCAGTCATTACACAAGGTAGGTGAAAACAAAGTGGTTAGTTTGCTTGTTTTTAAATTAAAAAAAGAAGAAAGGTGAAAAATGAGTTCAAGATTAGCGCATGTCAAAGTGCAATGAATTAACATAAAGATTGACTTTCACTGTAACAGCTGAAAACAAATTATTAGACTGAACTGTCCATCATGTGTACATATTACTGAATGGAGGTGGGCCTATTCTCAGCAATGCCGTTAAAGATTAACGCATCTTCTAAAAACATAAATAATACATAAATGTCCTCATTTGTGACTTACATCTTATTCCACTGTGATACAGCGATCCAGTGAGGGTAACATGAGCACATGTGTCTTACTTGCAGGAGAGAGTGTCACAGCAGTGAGTAAAATAGCCTATTAAACATTTAGGATTAAATCAGTGAGGGGTAAAGAACTTGATGGGTTTATATTACAACGTGAGCAGTGCTATAATGCTCAGTGCCTTTCTTGTCATGGTGGAAGTATTACTTTCTCTTTTGGCTTTCTGCTAAAAAAAAAATTGGGGGACCCAATTTTCATGTACAGTGAGGCAAACAAGAAGCAGGCAATCTAGATTTCCAACTTGATAATGAAGAAGAAAAAGCACATCTCAAAGGCATTTGTGTAAAGCCTATAACTGCCTTAGATGACCATTTCCAGGGAATGAAGGCAGGCTGATTTGTGGGGATAAAACGATAAAAATTGAGAAATTGTGATAAAACAGATTTTTAAAGCCGCTTTAAGAGTCTCATTGGACATTGCAATCCCTACCAATCACTGCATAAGCTTAAGCCTCCCTAGATCTCTCTCTCTTGCTCTCTCTCTCTTCCCCCTCCCTCTTCTTCTTTATTTTCTCCTGTCTTTCCAACAGCAAGTCAGAGCATTACATGCCATATGATCACTAGTGCATTTATTGGAGTGTTTTCGCACATCATAAAGCCCCTCATAATGCATTTAAAATGAGGGTATGATGCTTTAACTGGACTATGCAGGCTGGTAACTTTTCTACTTAAAAGTGTGTACAACCATGCTTGGTTTTGTAGCTTTGCGGTTATTAGATTACAGTTTCAATGTTTGCAATCCAATCTTTATTGTTAATTAGAAACTACCCATGAAAGGTTTTAAACATGATTTCTTTTCAATTCTAGTTTTGTTTAAACTGAATACACACTCTAACGCCCTAAAGGGTTATGGGCAGATGTAAGCAAACTTCGATCTTTGTAAATTTGCATTTCATTGCAGTGCTTGTGCTCCTGCACGTCTTCCGCCTCTTGCTGGACCAAACTTTTGCCCTTTTTCCCACTTTCTATTTGTGCTTTGTTGATTAACTTCTTTGCTGAAAGGTACTTTAACTTTGCACAACTTTTTAAAAAATTCATGGATGTACTAACAGCTTTTCTTCCCTCTGTTGCACGCTGCTGTTTATCTCCCAAGTGGACTCCTAAGTGTCCCTGTCAGATCCTAATGAGAACCTATAATGTTCTATTAAACTTAGATGCATTGGAGAGGTTAGCCAGTCAGAGGATAAACAGTCACAGTGCTAACATTAGATTAAGAAAATGCAGGTGCATAATTAGTGCGGTTAGCATCTGATCCACTGCCAACACTTTCTATTTATAAACAGCGCATTTCTGTATATGCGATATCTGATAAAAAAATGAAAAAAGGCGAAAGAAACCTTTCACGGCAGCGTGAAAGAGAAACTTTTGAGCCACAAATGAACACATCTTTCATTCTCTCAATTACTAATTCCAGCGCAGACATCCGTTTGTCTTCCATGATGCTACTGGGAATCGACTCACTTCTGCAAGCTGTTTTGCACATATGGTACAAGCCATTAGTGCGCATTAGAATTCACAATGGATGCTAGGGCTTTTTGCATTTTATTAGAATAATACAAAGATTGATTACAAGTGAAGAAATAGCGCTAAAAGACAAGCACACTGAAAATCAGTTAGCTGATGTGCAAATGAAAAACCTTTAATACAAAGCCACGAGACAAACTGCAGGGCAAAATGCAGCTCATTAGACACAAGTGTTTTTATTAAAGCTGGCGATGGGGAAACATTATTTTGAAATCAACATCTCTTCGATAAATGAAGTCTCGAAGCTGTTAAATAAGCAGACTGTTGTTTCTTACACGCACAACAGAGCAAACCAACTTCTTAGGTTAAAGTACTGCAAGAAGTGAACATGTCCATATTGATGCATAGCAGTAAAGCTCTTATTAGGTATCTTTGAACAAATGATTGAAGTAAAATAAAAGAAAGAAAGAAAGAAAGAAAGAAAGAAAGAAAGAAAGAAAGAAAGAAAGAAAGAAAGAAAGAAAGGGGTATGACACACAGAAACCTCCGTTTTTGTATCGTCTCATTTTCATTTCGGTAAGAAATCCTACCTGAAGTAAATTTTCTGCTAACATTCAGTGGTAGTGCTTGTAAATCTAATTTCATGCAGGGAGCATTTTCATTTGGACACAGAGAGGGATGAACAAAGATTTGATTATCAACAAAACGTTGGCACAAAAAATGAGCATTTTTTTCTTCCCCTGCACACAGAAAGCACTTAACCTACATACTGTACACCACTAAGGTGGAAGCCACTGAATATGTTCCCTGCTGCAGTTTTTACAACAGTTTTTGGTGGCGTGAACATCTGCATGGTAACACGTGCGCTCTCTGATTCAGCCAAGGAGGACGGGAAGCTCAGTGTCTTCAAAGTGAGTGATTTGAGAGGCTGGAACAGCTGGTGTGCCAGATTTGCTCTCGTGTTCAGGGCTGGACTCTCATCATCGGAGAAGTTTTGCTTGCACTGGCTACTTGATAAATATCTTAAATATTGGCAAAGCAGAAGGACGAACCTTCTAGCCAGTAAGCAAAACAGCTTCTGGAGTCTGAAGATAGATTGCGTGCTCCAGCTGAAACTCTACTATCAAGAAAAAAAAGATGTGAAATAACAAGAAGTATACATTAAACTCAAACATAAAGATGTGAGCTTGCATGTGGCGTACTTTACAGCGGCGATGAATGCTCCCGCCTGGAACACAGCGAGCCAGTTTATATTCACTCCAACTGGAGGTGCTGCCAGCTCTGGTATTAAATAGCACATCTGTCAGTGCCCACTGGAAGGCTAAGCCAGGATAGCCTAGATCCTAGGTCCAGATTCTGCCTCATGCAGTGTGTCACCCACTCAGTGAACATGACTGACACTATTGTCTGTGTGTGGAAGGGGAGGAAATAAACGCTGTTGTCGTCCTCTAAGGGCTGCTGGGCTGACATGATAGTGACATGTGCAGTACAGTCGCTGCCGTGCGAAGTGTCAGGCCAGCTCGACAGGCTCGATGAGGGAGGATGAAAAGCAGAAGCGGTCGTGATAGACGGACCTATCAAGAGCTGGCAGCCATGAGGGACACGCGGAACAAATTTGACACAGAAAAACTTCAAACCTTTTTCATTTGATAAATACTGATCAATAATTCAATGGCAGATAGCATTCAATGCGGCATTCACTCTCTCATGAATATACATAAGTCAGTAGTTGTAGATCTGATCTTTTTTTTAAGACACTGAGTTTGGGTTTGCTGCCATGTTCACAACAGCCTCATCCAGGTTGTTATAGTAAACATGAGTGTTTCTGTTTTTATGCGTTCATGATTCACCAAGTAGGGCAATTAGCCACCAGATCAAAAGTGCACTCCCGGGTCAGCAGCTATAATCTTCATAATTCTGTCAAAATGGACATTTAATGAGGACACATGACGCATGAGTGACCTCTGCTGATTTCCAGCGCGGTAAACACTCGCCATGAAATCAGATCAGGGGACATTTATGCTGTTCGATTGATTTGTCACAGCGATTGCAAAAAGGTCATTCTTTACATTTGGGATTAGTATTTACAGTACTCCTGTAACTCTCTTGTTATCACTGTACAAAACACACCGACACAGACCAGCTGGTGTACGGATGCGTACCTTAACCTGTAACCATGTTTTCAGGTGCATGCTGGTCTTTTACATCAAATCTACTTTCTTTCATTTGATATAATGATGCACAGCCCTGTTTGTCACTACTTATTCCCCCTGCCTAGAGACAATCTGAAAAGCCATTTTAATCCCAGTGTTTGATGGCTTATTTCCACTTTGTGCCAGATGTATCAGATTGTACCTTCTCATGCTATGGAGGGAAAACAGAGACACTTTTGAACATGACAACACGGCAGGCGACATTTTTTAAAGAGCATTTCGAAAAATTATTTCCATAGAAACCTATTTACTACCAGGATTAACTACCTGGAAACAATTACATACTGTGCAGAGAAAAAGGCTTTAGTCAACAAATCGATGTTGGATTGTTACAACTCGGCTAGTAACGGGCTGATCTGACTTTTGGGGAAAGCAGCATCTTTTATTTGGTCTCATCCTGACTTCATGTTTTATTTCAGATTTTCTCTGTTAATGTATTTTAAGGCCACATCAAAGCAGTCTGATGTGACACCAGGACACTGGGAATGTTGTCTTTTTTTCATAAAACAAATACAGTTCGTAACCTTTTACAATTCCAATAATTTGGTGACAAAGCCAAAGAGTTTAACATCTGCTCCACCTGTGCTATAGGACTTTTAAGATTAAGGCCAGAGGCCTTTTAGTCTAATATTTTAAAGTCCCACTCAGTTGATCAGTTGGCCTTGTATGACTTTGATATTCGTGTGTTTCGGGGACACTGCCTGTCTTCAAATGTGACAAAAAAGTGAAATCCTTCAGTTTTGAAGATTTATTCAGAAGTAGCATAGACGTTTTGTCCTGCAACAGTAGTGTAATTTTCAATTTTCCTCTTTCAGATTTGAGCAGTAAAGAACTTACCGACAACAAGAGCCCAGTGCCTTTCCCTGTCTTCTTGCCGGTCAGCTACGAAGTTAAGGATGCCGACTACCTCTTCCTAAAAGAGGTAGGGCAGGACTTCATGAGGAACTCCAGCATGCAGAGCCACATCCAGCCCTTTGTTATTTTACGAGCCAGCCGCCAGCCGGTGGTCAACGCCAGCTATCGCACCATGTCCGCAGAGAAACCCGTGCCTCTAGATATGGTCCAGTCTGTGAAGCTCTTCAATGCACCAGAGGTCTTTACCTTTAACTGGAAAATCCAGGCCTTTGTCCTGACGCCTCGGGTTTTCTCCTCCAAGCCCAAAGTCAGGGTGCTCTTCTATGTTGCAGGCAGGGATTGGAACAGAGGGGAAGGCGCTCTGGATGAGCTACCATGTGTGACGGTGTATGCGTTCTGGCAAACCCAGGAGGTGAGGGGTTCCTGTGCCATAGGAGGTGAGAGGGGGACCTGCATGGCCGAGCTGGTTCCTACACCTGGCTGGTTTGCTCCAGGGTCAGAGGGCACCAGTAGAGAGAGGCAGGATCCATCTGCTGGGAACCCTGTGGAGCTGTACTACCAGGCTCAGCCAAAAGTCAGAGGGAAGTGCAATTCTGTGGATGGAAGTCGGTGGGGGGGTTCACAGCAGCAGGCAGAGTTTATTCCTGTCACTCCCATGCAGAGGATTGGAAGTGTGCGTCTTCTGCAGGTGCCTAAGGGGATGGCAACGCTTTCGCGCCTCAAGCTCGGCAATGCCATTGTCATACGGACATCCTCCAAACCTCTAAAGAAGACTGACATCGCCACCTTCTACATACTCATGGCCAGCTCTGCTCAGCTGACTAACTTCACTCTCAGGTAAAATGGAATTTTTTGCCTCCCTGAAATTTGCAGTGGTCAGCAATGTCACGGCTGACCACATGCTTGCAGTATTATAAGAGAAACTCTGTCCCCGATTTACATGGGCCTGTTATTTCAGCAAAGTTGAAATCATCTGGTCAGCAAAACCTCAGAATGGGGAACCGCTCACTAATAGTATTAGTCATCTTCCCTAATTCTTACCCAAATCCTTTGCCATCAAATATAAGCGAATATTGAACGAAATGAGATTTAGTATGGATTATGACATTTGCCTGGAAATATCATAGCTGTTAACCATCTTTCCTGGAAACGGGATGGATTATTTGAGCAGCAAAGCCTGAAGACATTAAGAGCAGTTTTAACAGCAGGAGTCATCAAGGTTAACACGGAGCAAATAATATGTGTGCCATATACCTCATTATTTCCTTTATTTAAAGGGTATGCTCAGGATCAGTGCACAGTGCTGTAGAGTGTATGCAGATCGCGGAGATTAGTAGCATGGCTTCATCTCACTTTGCAATGCAGAATGCTTTTGAATAGAGATGAGAGCACTTGTAGAACCATCTTAAAAAGACTGTAATTCCTCTGGAGACCTCTGACATACTTGGTAATGAAGGCTAAATTTATACAGACATGTTTCAAAAAACAGCCTTCCATATTTCCCAAGAACCAATGCCTCAACCAGCTGACTAATTATCCTTAGCCTAATATCACGGCTGTCTCTCAAGACGTCAGTCTGTTACTTCCCTTTTACAGGTGAAATGATGCAACGCGGCGAGATTGGCACCTCAAAACTGGATTTAAATTAAATGCTTCCAACCCGCACTCACCGTTTCATTGATGGCTTTCACGGTCATCTGCAGCCTTTTGTTATCATCATCCAGGCGAAGATCAAACAGAAGCACGCGGCGGCAAAGCTACATTTGTCGAGGTTGGCTGTCAGCGCAGACAAGCAGAGATTTACGTTGACCCGATTAGAGGCAGGTTTTACAAATTGTTATTCAAGACACTATCAGCTTTATTCCAAGTCAGTGAATTATTGTCTGACAGGAGGCGTCAAATGCATTTTCCATACAAGACTCACTTATTAATTTACTTTGTTTGAGAGTGTCGTAAATCTGTGGAAGGTGTCCTGACTTAAGAACCGGCCTTAAAGGCAGCACCGAAGTGCAGAAGTGCCGGTTCCTGGACAGTCTGCACTCACAGAATCAAATCAATACCTCAAACACTTTAGAAGTGACTTCCGCCTCGACTTGCTCATGCGTGCTTCACTGAAGGTGAGTGGGTGAGCAGACAGTCATGGATTATTAATTCCCCTTTTTTAATTCAATTGTGAATGCTGGAAAAGGACCATATTATCTGAGCTGACAGCTGTGCATGGGTGCACTTGTCCTCCTTGTCAGGAAGCAACATTTCTCTCAGGTACTCAGCTCTTTTGCAAAAGGAAACATGCAAACTTGAGTCTGAAGGTGGTTTATCAAATATTTCAGCTGTCGCTGGATTTCCAGAAGTATTATGAAATAGTTTCACATTTGTTTGTTGTTGTTGCTTTTTAAGATTAGACCATGTACTTAATTTCATTATTTGGTTTCCTGTTTGTTTTGGGTTTTTTTAGCTTAGGCAACGGAGCCAAAAACCAATCCCTGCTTCCTCTTTTTATTGTGTCACTTTTAATCATTCCTGCTTTAATTCATTTACCCAATCATACACAAATGAACCAAAAGGAAAGCATTAATGCTGCCTCACTTCTTTCCTTTCTTCTCCTACTCTTCTGTTCTCTGGCAACAGCGTTAGAAAGGAAAATGAAGTCCCTTCTGTATGTGTTGGTGACTACATCCATGTTTTTTTTAGACCATTAACTTAAAAATATTGACTGTATCTTTAAGTTCCATACTCAGTTCCACAGTGCAGCCCTCAGCCAGCTTATCAGCACATTAAGAAGCGCTGTGCATCCAGTCCTCAACAGCTGTCTGTGTGCTTTATCACTGTCTGAATGTTCCATTAAGCTTTACTTAATACTCTCTCATCAGCATGATAAACCTGTTTTTGATGGCTATAGCTCCAGTCAAGGGAAATACAAATTCGAGGTTGATTGAGAAAAGACAAGCCACACCTGTCCGTCCGTCACGGCAAAAACGAACCTGTCACTCTCAGTGAGGCTTTTGTAAAGGTCACAGATAAAGTGTTGTACTACCGTCATCGCGCTACCCACAGGAAGGGCAATTAGATTATCCTTTTACCCAGTTGAGTGGAATGAAGTATGAGCAAGTATGAGTGTATTTTTCCGTTTTCGTCTCAACATCTATTTAAATTCAGTAATCAGACTCAGTAGTACCCCCAGCTCCCCCATTCTAATGGCTTTATTTAAAAGTAGCATTGAGGCAATAAATTAACAGTGAGTTTTTGTATCAACAGGACACCGCGTCAGTGAGCTTTTCAACCACGGGTCTAATCATTCAACTCGGTGACAAATAGGGCTTTTACATCCATTTTAGTGCTGCGGTGCCTGCCATCTGGCAGGAGTGTTGGCATGAACATCTCCCCAACTCCCTAAACTGCTCCATAAGTACGATAAGCACGTTGCCGATGGCTGGCCATCAGACTGGCTAAACGGTGGACATTTGCCTGCATAATTAACGATTGCATCTGTTTCCGATTGCACTGGGGTTCACTGTGGTGCTGTGGCCCCGCAGTGATGCACTCACAAAGCTAAAGATGGGAACACAAATTATATCAGCAAAGTAATTACAAACCCTATGTAGCATCTCGATAGCAGCCTTGATGATGGAATGCATCTGGGTGAGCTGGAGGATATCTTCTAGGTCTTTGATCAAACTCAGCCTCTGTGCTCTTTGCATTGCATGTGCGCTGTTTTGATTGTTGCTCTGTTGGCCATGTGTCTGTGATCAATCAATATAAGTCTAAAGAACACTGCATTACAAACAGTAAATAAGGAAAAGGAGAGGGCTAATGAAGGCCGAGGGCAATCGAGGCTCGCTTTGAGTGTATTTGAAAGTGTAGATGTCTACTATTGGGGCCGGTTCTCTTGTGGGCATTGTCTTGTGCGTTAGTGTTTTTAAGTGCGTGCACGCGCCCCTTAAGTGGATGAAGAGTATGCAAAAGGTGAAACAACAGTGCCACTCATGCCTTGCCTGGTCAGAAGTGAGATGGATGGCAGGTGCAGCACCTGAGAGCTGCTTTTCTCACACAGTGTCAGCTTCGGTCTCCACAGCCATCCATCTTCTCTGCCTCAGTGCCTCTCCCTGCCCGCTGCCTCCTCAGGCCCTGCTAACTGAAGCTATGGACACTGGTTCATGTTCATGTTCAGAAGAAATACGCCTCCTCGAGTCGCAGGGGATTCTTTTTTTTAATGCAAGGGAGCTGAGAGACAGAAAAAAAGGGGCTTTAGATAAGTCTTCTTGTTACTGTCACTTTTTATTAGTTAAACCCTGCTCCACTCAGCTCAATACACAGAGGTGTTTCATCGGCGCGCACGTTATTCAGAGGCCATTACTAGATTAACAGCCCTCCAAGGTGCTCTCATTAATACACCGAACATGCAATCCTGCTTACCTCACTCACGGTGGATTAAAGTTTTGGCCCACTGAAAGTAAACTTCACAATCTAAGTAAGCACTGTTGAAAGGAAAGATAAAAGAAAAGAAGTAAATATAATGTTCAACCAAAGCTGAGATATGCAGTGCGATACTGAAAATAGAAAAAGAAACCATACTGCAGATTTCCGTTCCATATTGCATGTGGTATTTTGATGCAATGCGTGTTTCATGCTTTGAATTTTAATGCCCTTAAAAGAAGAATAACTGCTATAACTATAACAACCTTTTCTTATAAGGTACCCTATTTTTTGGACTATAAGGCGCACTTAAAATCATTTAATTTTATCAAAACTCGACAGTGCAGCTTATAATCCGGTGAGCCTTATGTATGAGGACCTCGAACCGATTTTATGTGGTACACGGCGCTCAAAAATCTATCAAAAAATGTTTTAGTACGACTTTGGTAAGCTACGATGCCGCACCTGATGGATTGTTGGAGCATTACAGCTACGGCAGTCAACACTGCGGTATCACTGAGAGTTAAAAACTGTCTAAATTCTTTCATCTTTAATAAAATGATCAGCGCTGCTGCTTTACCAGGTGTAACAATTAAGTTTAACATCCAGGCATCCATGAAAACAGAATTTATATAATTTAACGGAGTTAGAAGTTAGCAGGTAGTTAGCGCGCTAGTTTCCACTTAAACATGATATAGCATGTTCTGACTGAGAAATTTCTGAAAAATTAAAACGTACAGCTCTGCTATCACTTCAAACATAAACAAAGACAGAAAACTAAACAGCAGTGACTTTTGTAGGGTTACTGAAGTTGGGCTATCTGGTATATAATGATGTGCTATGTGATGGCTAGTAGCGACACAGCTATGTTAGCATAACATAAACAGTAAAGCTGGAGGATGAATGCTAATGTTTGTTTCGCTTAATCCGCCGTATAATCTGGTCCGCCTTATGGTCCGAAAAATACAATATATGTGTGTAAGTTAAACACTGAAATAAACTTTTCGGTGGGAGCATTGTTATTTTTTTACAAAGATTACATTTGATAAGAAATGTGAAGACAAAAAATAATTATCATTACCTTAGATGCACCTTCCTTCTTGTTATCTCCTTACCTTCATCCTAATCAGGGACTTGCAGGTTCCTCTTTGCTCCGCTCTCATCTGCCACCTGATATACCACCAGAGAAGCCATACACCGGCAACAGAATCTCACTCTTCCTTTTGCTTTATGTGATGAGAAGTGTTCAGAGCTAGAGCTGATTTAATTAGTTTCCAGTCTGTAAGTTGACTTACATTTCTGACTTGCGTTTGCCATAGCAACCTCTGTAGTAAAACTGGGAATGATGGCAATATTAGAAGCTTCAATTGAATGCTGAATTCAGCTACCCAGAATGCTACTGAAGGAATGAATATTATAACAGTGTATAACAGAATAAATATTAAAGTGATTAACCTGTTTCTAAAAAGGTGGCTTTCAGCTGTGTGCAATTGTCACAAGTTACACCACTAGATGATTTCACCCTTTAGCTCTCCGCTCCATGTAGGAACCTGTATTAATCAGACAAATGAGCTTCTGCACTGAGCAGCTGGAATGGAAATCAGCTGCTTCAGGGTCATGACGGCGCAAGATTAAACTGTTGAAAATGATACCGTTCAGTCCTTTTTAATTACGACCTTTAACCCGTAAGCTCTGTGTCCATTTTATGTTTTTAACAGTGTCACTGTTGCTGCAACAGGAGCCAGATTTATTCATTCTGAAAAGGAATGAGGGCCTTATTTCTGTCTCACATCCCAGCCATTAAGACAGCGAGTGATTACAGGGAAATGCGGCTCCACAGCAGAAACTTATGCGCTAAAATCAGTGGCCACTTGAGACCTTCTCTCCTGATTACATTTTGCATGTAATCTGGAGCAAAGGTCTCAAGTGGTTTTGCCAAAGATGTTTCTTTCCAGATTACATGTTTGCTGTGCAGATGTTGTTACAAAGGGTGGCTCAGATTTGTTGTACAAATGTAAAAAATGTGCACACGAGTAACGCTTTTCAATTAAGAGATAATGCATGCTTAGGCTGCTCTCCTGTCACCGCGCATAACAAGGGAGTAACGTCCTCTCTTCTTTTGCCTGCTTTTGAAATACAACAGCAAAGTCAAAGAAAGAGAAGCGCTCAGATTGCTGTTGCTCCTATCAAAAATTACACCTCCTCTGAGACTCATAATGCGCTCAACAGTTGTGTTTATCTCAGAGATAAACCACACAGCTTTGCATGCAGATGAAAAACAAAGAATCACATGAGGATGTTTTTCCTGAACATTCGGATACTCTGTCTTGTTCGTGCATATTCAGCAAGTCTGGCATATTTACATGTGTGCCCCTCCTGGCCTCCACAATTCTTCCAGAAGAGTATCTCATTAACATTTGACCTACTGCAAGCTGCTTATGCTGGGAAAGCCCCACGGGGAAGGTCTGTTTGGCTGCATAATGCACACCATTTACAAATTAGACACCAAGAAAACTAATACTCCATTAGTACATTTTGAATAATGAGAGCACGTGAATATAAATAGAAAGAACAATGTTTTCTTTGCACCTTTAATTGCACAGAGGTGATGGTAATTACAGGTTGAGATAAGGATAAATATATATATCACAGATTTGTGTTTTTGTATTTTCTCTCTCTTACAATTTTCTTTACATTTTCTTTTAAATGTATGTACAGAGTCTAATAAATATTGCCTTAGATTGATGTTTTATGCAATATCAGGGTTGAGAGGTAACTTGTTCCAATTATGTGTTATAAATGTAATTAATATTTTTATAACTAGTAAGTTATATCAGGAGAAATCGTTTTCTTGAGACAAGAGAGAAAGATTCCTACAAACAGCTTGAAGCAACAAACTAAACATACTCTCCAGCTGATGTAATTTCAACACTCGGCTTATATTTGTTATTCAAACTTTCTTAAGGTCTTGGCTGCTTTTTCACTCACTTTCACTACGATTTTCCCAACAGCCCTTGGTTTTGTGTGTGTATATGTGTGTGTGTGTGTGTTTAGCTAGCAGGCTGTCACAATACGCATAATTTGTCCGTCTTCTTTAGCTGAATCTATGAAAGAGAACATAGTTTACCAAACAAAAATTTTTGTACAAGTGGAGGACAAAAGAACAAGTAGTGGGCCTAAAAAAAAACTATCTACAGCAGATAAACAGTATCTGAAAAGCCCAGTGACCAAAATGGGAACAAATCCAGCAAATACCTCACTGAACCCAATGATGAATCTGCATCATTGGAAATGGTTTCAGTGGAAAGATTGCCATTTTTTAAGGGAGGGAAATGGGAAGAAAATGCAGATGTAAAATTCTGCTTTAAATCATCATCAGTGTATATGGAGGACATCAGGAGAGAGGAGCAACGGTGAGTATCTACAGCCATCTGAAAAAGAGAGTGGAGGCTCTGTCATGGTTCGTGGCTGCATTTCAGCCAGTGGTGTTTGGGGGCTTGTCAGATTTTAATCCACCATGCAATACCATCTGGAAAGCAATGATTGGCAATGATACCAAACACATTGCCACTGTGGTAAAAGCATACCTAGATCGAAAAGCACTGGCCTCCCCAGAACTCAACAAGTCTGGGATCATCTAAACAGAGAAAAAAGGCAGCCAACATCCAAAGACAGGTGTTCTTAAAGATGTTAAATGTTCTTAAAGAAGGCTGGAGAACTATTCCTGAAGACTACTTCAAGAAAGTACAGAAACCTTACCTAAGAGAGTTCACGTTGGTCATTGACTTTCAAATTTGAATGAATCCTAAAATCTCTATTTTTGCCTGTATTTCCATTAATGTTTGTACATTAAATTACTGCACCAGTCAGAGTTGAGGCTTCTTCTTATTTGTCATAAGATTGTTGAGGCAGTGTGAGACAAAAACTAGATGTTGAAAAGTGTGAGAGCCTACAACCCTGCGAGTTACCAATACTGGTCTTTATTTTAAAATGGAATAAAGTTACCTCCTTTATAATTAATGTAATTAATGCTCTATCTATTCGGTTAGTCCCCAGGCCTGAATATCAACTTTATGCAGCTTCCTTCTTATTACTGAAATGGATTTATCGTGAGAAACCAGACAAGATTAAAAGCATTAATTAAATTCACCTATAAATGAATTTTAAGGTGGAAGTTTAAATCTATTGTACATGAGGGAACTATATTTAACACTTTTTTTTTCACAAGAAAATTCCAAAACTCATGAAAAAAAGAAAAAGCCAGAAATGTAATGTAATGTAAAAATTTATTGCATTCTTGACCTTTTCATTTTCGACTTTTCACAGAGCAACAGTAAGGAAAGGTGTGACCTTTCGAACAGTAACACCCAGTAACTCTTTACTGTGGGACATCACTCTGGATTTGAGTGTGGATGGAGCCATCGCTGTTATTTGTCAGAGAAAGGCTCCCATACCTGGGAAAAGGCAAGTCTGTTCTCTTCACATTACTTTATATGTCATTGTAGACTATTCATGTATGTCTGTTTTTTTGTTGCTGGGAAATCTATCACCGCTGATATATTTAGACTGCAGAGCTAAAAGGGGAATTTTAATGCATCGTGGGTTGCCGGTACCTCCAGCTGTTTAAAGCGGATGTGTGTCTGCATTGGAAAAGCAAATCACAAACAGTCTGTACTGTACATGTCTGCATGTATGTGGTTCATTGCATATTGTCCAGAGGGGATATACTTTAACCACTGGATGACTGCAGGTATTCTTGTAAAGAAAGTCCTTGTAGGGAGGTATGCTTTTTACCCCCCTTTAAGTCCCACTTTCTGTCTGCACTTTAATTATTTCAAGACATTCACTAACTGTGAACGGGAAGGTATTTCTAGCATGTAGTACCCTGCTTTATTTTAACCTAAAAAGTGCAAGCTACTGAGTGCATCCTAAGGCTTGATGCTAAAACTATTTGCAAGACATCTGCAGGTTGGTCTGATCAGTCGGCTCTTTGGGTTCCTAAGAAGTACTTAACTTGCTCCATAATCTCATTAAACAGGACTACAACCATTCCCTGACAACCAGCCTTTCTCAGATGTCCTTTAAAGTTCAGCCAAGTGCAGCTTCATTTCGCTTAACTGCAATGAGCTGAGTACAATTAAGAGTTAAGTCTGATAAGCGTGGCCCGTGCCTCCTGAGATTAAAAGACACCTGTTTTTTTTTCTGTCTTGTTTTTTAAAGGACAAGGCAACGCAGGGGAGAAATGTTATGCCATGGTCTGTCATTCAGGTTTGCTTATTACTGTACCTTTTTGCTACTGCCAACAGTGGAGTTGCCACAGGGATGTGTTAAAATCTACACTACCTATTTGTAATGTGTGGTTATCAGGTATTAATTGCATACTAAAGTGATTTTTTGGGTCCTTAAGTGACAGTTTGACTGCGCAGCCTCTGTTTCTGTCTCT